GCTAGGACTAAGAATATGTGGGTGTCACCCTATAAGTAATTTATGAGTGGCTAGCTAGTAGCACTCAATATTGTGTGGCTGGGAGCAAGTTACATGCCGGAGGCTGTGTGAGAGAAGAATCTGGAGAGGTGGCTGTTCAGCAGCAAAGCCGTGTAAGTGGTATCCCAGGGTAGAGAATTAAGGGGGCACAGCTGTTCAACACTCTTGATTGAATGCTGGGGAATGTCACAGCCATATTTTAAAAGGAATTTTCACAGACTAAATTTGTATGACACCTTTCCTGGAATTGATTACACAGTTACTAGCTGTAGTGAAATCCAAGCCAATTAGCTCATTCATTCTTTCAGCCACACAAAACTTCTTGCTCAAATTTTATAGGTCCAATCTTCAGACCCAATTTTCCCAGTTTTTGAATAGGTACCCTTGGTCCAGTCAGTCTCCACTTGAGACTAATTAGGCAGTTCAGTTTTGGATCCCCTATTCCTTAGCCTTTTTAGCATGTCTGGTGTCAGGGTTCCCTCCCCACTCTGAACTCTAGGGTACAGACGTGGGGACCCGCATGAAAGTCCCCCCAAGCTTATTTCTACCAGCTTAGGTTAAAAACTCCCCAAGGTACAAATGCTCCCTTGTACCTTGGATTAGGTAACGCTGCCACCACCAAGTCATTAGACAAAACTCAGGGAAAGGACCACTTGAAGTTCCTACTCCCCTCTAATATCCTCCCAAGCCCTACACCCCCTTTCCTGGGGAGGCTTGAGAATAAACAAGATGAGCACAGACCAACCTTGGGTTTTTTTAGGACACTAAAAAAACCCAATCAGATTCTTAAAAAAAACAGAACTTTATTAGAAAGAAAAAAAGGTAAAAGAAGCACCTCTGTAAAATTAGAATGGAAGATAATCTCACAGGGCAATCAGATTCAAAACACAGAGGATTTCCCTCTGGGCAAAACTTGAAAGTTACAAAAAGAAAACCAGGAATACACCTCCCTCTCAGCACAGAGAAAATCACAAGCCAAAATAAAAGTAAGCTAACACATTCCCTTGCTAGTACTTACTAATTCTAATGGAGTTGGATTGCTTGCTTTCTTGATCTGTCTCCGGCAAGCACCCAGAACAGACAAAACAAAGCCTTCCTCCCCCCTGATTTGAAAGTATCTTGTCCCCTTATTGGTCCTTTTGGTCAGGTGCCAGCTAGGTTACCTGAGCTTCTTAAACCTTTACAGGTAAAAGGATTTTGTGCCTCTGGCCAGGAGGGATTTTATAGTACTGCATAAGGTTGTTACCCTTCCCTTTATATTTATGGCATCTGGTTTAATAACTTACATTTGAGCCTGTGTCAACTATTCCCATACAGATAACAGATTCTATTATACAATTAATAGCCAAACTCTGCTTATTATTTAACTGCCCAGATCTAAACAAAAACTTTGGGTCTCATACTTGTACCTCCATCAAGCTTTGCCTCTTCAGTGTAGTGTTCCCCATTTTCCAGAATTGGGACAGAAGCTTTTGCTAGACACCTTCAACTGTCTTGGCCTGCCTTCAATTTATAGCAATCCTTCTTTGTGGCTACGCTTGTCATAGTACCAGCACATAACTGAACCTGTTTGGCAATAATGCAAAAAAGCAATTTTTTTTTAAAACAAACCACATGTATCTGTTTGAATTGTTCAGTGAAATCATGAACCAGATTAGAATCCACTCTTTATCATACATATTAGACACAGAACTGTACTTACAGGGCTAATGCTGATCAGTTTTCATCTTCCTCACTAGTGGTTGCTTCCTCTTCTGGTGAACTACTGCAAGGAAAGATTCAAGTTCTGTGGCAAATTCCACAGTCTCTGGTGTCCTTTTGCTGATCTTGATCTGCAAGTCCAACTCCAGCTGTGCATCTATAAACTGGTCCATTGTCAAATGCCTCTCCTTCTAGCTCTTAGCTCTGCCAGGCTAGCTCAAAACTGCATGCTAAGGGCCTGTATCAGGTCTGGATAAGCAGTCTCTTTTCTGGGGGTAAGTTCTGCAGGACAGAAAGAGCTGGGACCCCTAAATTAGTTGCTTTAAACCTTCCTTTCTGTCCCACTTACCACCCATTCATTTTAGTTGAATTGAGCCAATAAGTCTCCCAGGGAGCTTTTTTCCCCTCAAAGATACGGGGATTTTGCATTATTTGAACTGGGAATCCTCCAGATGCTGCTTTAGTTACTTTTGTGAAACTTCCAGGTCTTACTTTAAATTCTTTTGTGAAGGGTCCAGTTCCTGTGTTAAGTCTTGTTTTACATCCTGATGCCCATTTTTTATTCCTGCAAGTACCTCCATTAATTGTTCTATCTTGGTGTGACGGTGCTGCCCGTGGGAGCCAGCTGAGGTCACTCAATTAGGGTGAGCTGCAAACAAAACGGGGCAGACAAACCCCAGAAGCTGGTGGATATTCCAAAACTTAGTTTACCAAGCCAGCACAGAACAGCTTCTATAGTGCCTCACTGGTTACTCAGAAGTCCAAACAATGCAGTTCCCTTAAAGTACCCAGCCTCAGGCCTCCATCCAGACACACACGTCAGATATGATGATGATTACTGAAAATCTTATCTCGTCATATAAAAGAAAAGGTTCTTCCAATCCCAAAGGATCAGCTACATACTCAGGTTCAATTATAACTTAGATCTTACCCAAAATACACGCTTATAGCCAATTCTTATTAACTAAACTAAAATTTATTAAAAAAGAAAAGAGAGAGAGTTGGTTAAAAGATCAATATACATACAGACTTGAATTCAATTCTTGAGGTTTAGATACATAGCAGAGGTGAGCTTGTAGTTGCCAAAAGTCCTTTTAGATATAGTCCATAGGTTATAGTCCAATGTCCATATTCAGGGTGGCTCCAGTCAATGACTGGGGATCTCAATCCTTGTCGCTTAAGGTTTCCCCCTCTTGAAACCCAAAGCAGATCGGAGATGCAGAAGGATCGTGTCCCAAAGTTTTTATACATTTCCAGCAGCCTTTTGGCCTGAGAAAACAATAGGCTCAACTTTCCTTCTTCTAAACATCATGGCAATTAGCACAGGATAATTTATCCATTAAACAGTTCAGATACAGGTTACCACAACCTTCAAAGAGACATATAGACAATAATACTATTTCACTTAAGTATCTTTCTAAATACTGATACTCCTTTTTTGATCTTTGAATCAAAGCTATAGCAATAGACAAGACTTGTTTGCTTACAGCACAAGCCCTGAACAAACAGCTACCCTTTTATCTCTAACAATGCAGACTTGCATTTCAAAGCTCTGTTCATTTACATATCTTCCTAACCAGTCACTAAAGTTCGGCCACGGGTTAGGTCAGTCTGGGAGGTAATTAACTCTTTCTGGCTCTGTCACCTTTCAATGAGATATTATATTACACTCATAACATCACTCATACACTCTTGCATCTGAAGAAGTGAGGTTCTTACCCACGAAAGCTTATGCTCCCAATACTTCTGTTAGTCTTAAAGGTGCCACAGGACCCTCTGTTGCTTTTTACAGATTCAGACTAACATGGCTACCCCTCTGATACTTCATAACATCACACTTGGTTTAACAGCTCACAATCTCTCTCTTTGGAAACTAGATCCCACCTCTAACACAGTTGTTGTCCCTCTTTGAGGTGAGCAGCAACTCAAAGTTGAGAATCTCGATGATGCTTCATTTAGAAGTAGACATTGAAGGAGTCTAGTATTTTTGGATGCAACTGGGTTTATTTACAAAGAACATATAGAATCCCACTTTTCCCAATGCAGGAGGCACAAATGGAGCAATTATTTAGCTTATAGCCCCAAGCCTCTTCAGCTAACAGACCCAAACACACTCACTCTAGCTTTTTCTAGAGTCATAGCCTACTGCTTGGCTTTCCTGCTTCTCTCTCTGTTCTTACCTGTCCTCCCTTCCCCCCTGTTCTCCCCAACACCTACCCAAAGTGCTACTCCACCAAAATCTCCTGCACACACCTTTCATCTGAGGAGGGGGCTTATGCTTACAGTTATGTTCATTGAGAAGTGTGACCCTTCAATCTCAATGGGGTTTTAACTCATCCCCTAATTTCACCCAGCTCCTAACAGGATAGGGCCTAGCACAGCAGGATCCTGGTTCCTGAGAAAGGCTCCTAGGCTTTACAGTAATATAAATAATAAGAAACCTTCACTCCCAACTGAAATGCTGAAGGTTACAATGCCCCACTGAGTGCTGCCCGGGGTAGTTTGGCACCTGCAGATCACTCAGCACAGGCTCAAAGAAGCATCTTGCTCTCATGAGAGCCAGAGTCAGGCACAGGCACTGTTTAAAGCTATTTGAAAAAAGTGCACGTGTGTATTTAGCTGGGGGCGGGGGGCAGGTTCTGTCATAATGGGGGCGCTGTAGAGCACAGAGGTTCAGGCATTTTTAGCACCACTGGGCTGTTTCTTCTCCCCTTGCCTGTCTGCTGGAGCCTCTTGTAGGGCCCCGAGAACACCTCCTTACCGCTCCAGCCATGCTGACCTGAACGAGCTCCCTAACTGCGAGCGCCTCACACGCACCGAGTCTCCGCCCATTCCCCTAGGCCCTGCCCACCACCCCGGCGGGCTCCTCCCTCGGCTCCTCCGCGCCTGTAGGCCCCGCCCTCTCCTCGCTGAGCTATGGCACGCGGGGAGCGTCGAGCTGTGTTTTGTAATCTCCTCCGCCCCCTCCCCCACGCCGTGCCTCTCAGCCAATGGAGAGTGCACGTTGTGGTCAGGTGACGCAGCTTTTTATGTAAGCCAGCGGCGGGTCTGCGGCGATGTTTGAAAGGGGGTTACGGTCTAACGACCGCTCCGTCAAGCTGCTGCTGTAGGGCGCGCGTGTGCTGCGCCCGTCACCCGCTGAAGTGTGTACACCCCCTCTAGCCCCCCCATCGCGAGTGCCTCGGGGCCGTGCGCAGAGCAGAGCCGAGCCCGGCTACAGCCGCGCCGCGAGGAGCGCCACACCCCCCTCTGGGATCCGGACGGCGAGCGGGGCAGGGTGGGGGCTCGCAGCAGGATGGCGTCGTCGTCGTCGGTGGTTGTGAGCTCGGAGGGGTCCCCGGAGCCAGGGGGCAGCGGGTGGCCCCGCGGGGAGCCCGAAGGGGAGCAGGAGCGGCTGCTGCGGCGCGGGGAGCTGCTGGCCCTGGGGAACCACCTGAAGGAAGCGCTGGAGACTTACTCGGCGGCGCTGCGTCTCGGGCCGCCTGCGGGACCCCGCCGCCTCGAGACCCTTGTGGACTGTCTGGTGCTGAACTACCGCCTCCGACAGGGGCTGGACTGGAGCCGGGACCAGGGGGCCCGGGACCAGGGAGGCGGCGCGGCCGCAGGGCCGCTGACCTGCTGCGGCTGCCGGGGCTTCCTGGGCGAGCCGGTGACCGCTCCGTGCGGGCACAGCTACTGCCGCCGCTGCCTCCGGAGGGAGCTGCGCTCCCGCTGCCGCCTGTGCCGGGACCTGCTGCTGCCGCCGGCCGGGGGTGGCACCGCCGCCCAGCTCCGGACCAGCGTCGTCCTCAGCCAGTTGGCGGAGAAATGGTTCCCGGCCGAGTGTGAGAGGGCGCGGACCGGCAACCTGCTGGGGGAGCTGCTGAGCCAGGGGCGCTTCCGAGAGAGCCTGAGCGCCGCCAGCCAGGCCTTGCAAGCAGGTAATGGGCAGCGGGGGAGGCTCAGCTTGCGCGCTGGGCCCTGGCACGTTTCCCCCCCCCCCGTCTGCACCCGGGGGGCAGGGGACCCGCTTCGGTTTCAGTTGGCGCGACAGGCCGAGACTTGGTTCCTCGGGTGTGCCGCAGGGAGCTGAGTGCTCTTATCCAACTCCTGTCACTCCATCTCCACCGTGCCCCTCTCCTCCCCTCACAGCTCAGTCGGGGAAGAGTCGACGCCGGGATGAAGTAAGCTGCCGAAATCACGAGGGGAAGCTGGCAGGGATAGGCCCTTTGAAACAAGTCTGAAGTTTGCTAGAGCTCCAAGAGTTGATTTTTCTAATGTCGCTAACTTAATACGGGAACGAGCAGCGAGAGAACCGATTGTGGGGCTGCATGAGGGCTGTCTGGTGAGCAGATACACGGAGGGGTACTTGTGGAGTGGGGCACACTGCCCCTCTACTGCAAACCTTTCCCCAGGCCAGCTTTTTCCGTGCCTCCGACATAGACATTGTTGGACGGTGACAGGGTATCTTAGAACCATGCCTGCTGTATTTGCATTGTTTCCAAAGAGAGACCTGTTTTCCCAGCCTCTCAAGTGTGTCACTGAGACAATTCCCAGCAGGCCAGGCCTAGTTGCATAAGCAGACGGGGCATGGACGGGGACAGGTTGTGTAATGCTAGTGACATCACAGATGGGTGTGGTAGGCGTTTTATAATACACTGTTGCTAGAGAGGGCAAGGGGGGAGGTGAAAGGGTGTTCTTGGATTATTATTTATTGAGTACTGACAGTAGCTTGGCTCTGTACAGACTCATGTGGTCACTGTATCAGTGAGGTTAGTCTAGCTCACCCAAGCATTTTGACACCATAGAGATGAGCAAGACATAAACACCTAGACAGAAACAATGCCAGGTTCCCTCTTATGGTGCCTTAGTTCCGATATGGAAGACTGAATTTGGTTAAGTTCTAGTCTCTTTATTTTTACAATGGTTGTTCTGAAACTTAGTCTGAAGTTATACCTTTTTAACATTTGGTTTTTAATCCTTGGCACTGCATTTATGGAATTGCCAGCTGCAGGGGGGAAAAAGTTTAGATATCAAGCTAAACATATTCATTTGACAGAAGTCTCTTTTCTGATCCATATTAGGGAGAAATGTTAGCTGCCATTTCAGAATAAACTGTTGTCAAAATACACTCCTGTTAGAAATATTCTGTTCAAATCTTAAACATCTCTTGGGAGCATAATATGTGTGGATGTTTGATTGTAGCAGTGTCCTAAACTATTTTTTAGTACAGTTGTAGCATCCTGTGTTAGTCAGGCCAAAGAAGCATGGAGTGTTGAGTGATTTATTTTTAAACTAGGAACTTCTTAAGAATTAAGTATTTTATTTTAATATAGAATTTGGCATTGTGGCACACACATAAAAGGTAATCAAACAAATGAAGTAAAATCTAAATGGCTTTTGGATTGTAAATGGGTCTCTGTGATTATAAACATTTATGGTTTAGGATTTTTGAGGAAGTGGAAGAAGAGAGATGGATTTTTCTGGATAGACATTAAGAACCTAAGGGATCTCTTCTCCTCCTCCTCCTCCCCATGGCACTGCTTATGGCTCTGACTGTCATCATATTTGAGGTGTCTATGAATGAAGAGTTTTTTAATTACATTGTTGTACCAAGTTTACATTTAGGTTTGGGTTTAACAAATGACAGGTAAAACCTGAAAACATAGCTTTCAGTCTTCATATTTATCCATAGTTTTCCTATGCAGATTATTCATGCATATATTAGATTGCAGATTTAGAGATTTACTCAGACCACGATCCTTTCTACATTCTTTTCCTTTGTATAGCCCAAAAAACTCAGTGTTCCAAGTACTGACTAATTATACAATAAAAGTTGTTACTCCGTGTGGTAGTTCTAATGTGTTATACATCTGTCTTAAACACCTTTAATCTATATTAGATGTCATACATATTTAGGGACCTTTAAATTCATTGATCTGTGAGTGTGTTCTTACAAAACATTGCTGCAAAGTAAATAAGGCAGATATAGAATTCTGTTAGTATATATTCTGAGCTATTGGCTTGGAAAGGTTTTTTTTCCTCCAGCAACATAGAGGAATTCTCACAAAGGCTCAGAGTTCGAGAGAGAGGGAAATATTAGCTTACTCTTTTTAAAAATAATTCCCTTAGTTCAGATGTTTTAAAGAAGCTTTTCTCCTTGTCATCCCATCTTAGTTCCACTTTACCCAGACATACAGTCCAAAATCTGATTGACATAAATCTGTTGCCCTAAATTGAACTTAATGCCCTAAACTCAGCTTTAGTCAGGTTAAAAGAGAAGATGAGTTAACTGCTTTTAATAACTCTCTCCTATTATTTGGGATGTGAATTAATTGTAAACATGGAAGTTTACCTCTAACTCTTCACAAATGTGGGGATGGGTAGTTCTTATGCTGATTAAGTTGAAATGAAGTAGAAGTCATTAAAGGGATGCAGTCAGGTTAAAATCAGAATAAAGACATCTTGAGTCTTTTAGCTTAGCATGTACCTCCTATCCCCCACATAACTGATATAGGTGCAACTCCACCACTTATTAGTAAATTATACTGTAATCATAAATAGTGTGACTTGAATTTCGTAGCTTTCTTTTTGCCTTGTGTATTTTCATAACTTATTTCTTTTAGCATATCCAAAATACCATAATACTTATTTGATTCCCTCCTGAATAACATTTTAATTTGGTGAAACTGAAAGTTTTGGAGTACAAATGTATTTCTTACAGTTTATGCTGCTTGCTTATTTTTTGATATCTTTGTACAATTAAACTGGCTAGTTGTATTCTCACTTCCGTAGTTTGTAATAGAACAGTGGTTTGATGTTTGCAATCTAGATGTTGCATGGATATATTTTTAGTTTTTATAAAAAGCATATGCTTAACCTAAAGTTGGGGCCAAAGCTGACCTGACAGTATTTCTTTAAGCATTGCAATTCTGGGACAAAGCTTAAAAACAGCTTGCAGTTTTGCAAGTACAGTCACTCCCATTTGGAAATAGGATTTATGCCTGCTATATGCATATGCATATTGGGTAGTTATTGGCTGATAACATGTTAATGGGCCACTTTACCTCAAATGGCCCCTTGAAATATGGAACTACTTATGCTAAACAATCTGTTTCACTTTGTATTTAGACACTTTGTATTTAGCTGTGACACTCTGGGTATGTTTCCCAAACCTGAAGATCTCTGTGTAAGCTCGAAAGTGTCTCTTTCTCACCAATAGAAATTGGACCAATAACATACGTACCTCACCCACCTTGTTTCTCTAATATCTGGGACCCAACACGGCTACAGCAACACTGCATACAGCATAATGTGGCATTTAGATTATGCTTACAAAATTACACATGCAAATTTAGGCCATGTTTTTGCAAACACTTTTGCACGCAAGTAACTTTACACATATGAGAAGGTCCACTAAAGTAAACTGGACTACTCACATGTGTAAAGCTAATATACATATTTTGCCAAATGGGGCCTTAAAGGCCTGACTAAGACCCTTTAAATCATGGCCCATCGTTTTGTACAACTCCACTCAAAACAACTTATCCTATCCTTTTTTTGGAAAGGGAATTGGTGTGTACAGTGTGTTAAAAGGACACTATCGATTCAGGTTAGACTTCAATTTATCATTTTCTTCAAAAAGCCAGGCAAATGAGGACTGGCAAAACCGTAATATTAATAGAAATGTTCTGACATTTAAAATTCAAAATAAATTTTTATTTAAGGGACATTGTTGATTCAGAATCTAGTCAATAAAAAAACAAAAAGTTAAGTAATTTCAAGTACTATACTTGTTGCCAAGTCCCCTATCAATGCTTGTGGTTTTTTTTATAGTCTCATATTCCTTGAGACCTTTTCTCTATAACACTTGGAATCCTGACACACAGTAGTGCTTGAGAATTGCAGTGAAATTGATCAGTCTAACTTCCTGGCCTAGATAGAGTGAAATGTTAACTTACTTGTTACAGCAGAAAAGATAAAAGTAAATTAGACTTTTTATAACAGGCATAAGTGCTTTGAACTAAAATGATTTCACTTTTCTCGGTAGTGTCTCAGTGCGAAGAAATTTTTAAAAAGCGTAAACAGAATATAATGTACATGTGAATGCAAAACTAACTGTCCATGTTAAGTATATTACAAAATTTATCTGGCCTTCTTGAGTAGGTTTCAAATTTTACCTTTTTGTTCATTTTTATAACGAATAAGTAGTTTTATTAATTTTTTTAAATTAAAACCTAAGATTATGTAAGTACATTAGAATGGACTATCTTTAAGATTTAAGGGAGGTTCCAAATATTTTGCAAAGCATTTGATGCAAACATTGTTTTTAAAACTGTTAAATTTAGGGAAGCCATTGCATTTTAAAAAAATAGTCTAGCATGCTTGTGGGTTTTGTTATCTTATAGGAATGTGTAACTTTTTTAGTTGGGTCAAAGTGTGTGTGTATGTATGTATGTATATGTATATAAAACTAAAAATATCTTGTTTTCAGATCCCAGTGACTTGATGTTAAGAGTTTACAGAGCTGAATCATATGCTGGCCTCCAAGAGTTTAAAACAGCCATAGAAGATCTAAATTTTATCATCTCTAAAATGTCAAATTGGCCAGAGGTAAGTTGGTTTGCAATCTGTTTGTTGTTTTTTTTTTAAATCTGAATTTGTCTACAATGCTAAATTATGATGTTCAAATCACATCAAAATAATTTGGCTGACCCAGTTATTCTTACTTTATTTAAACTTTCAAATCAGTGTGGTCTAAATGCTTGATTTAAAAAAACAAAACAAAACCCCCACCTTTAAATCTGGGAGTCAGTGAGAGGTGAAAAATACTGCTTTTCTGCATCCTTGTTTATATTTTTATCAATTTTGATTTTAAACTCTTCAGGGTGGAGGGAAAGGAACCTCTTGTCCTTTTTTTTTCTTTTTTGTCAGTGAACTGCCCTGATGCTATGTGAATATTAAAAAAAGGATAATTTTTTTGTTCTTGTATGATAAATAGACCCCCCCCTCCAAAAAAAAAAAAAATAGTCCCAATCCACCAGTGAGTCACAGGAAGGTTCTAGGTGGGTTGCCACATTCCAGGCAATTTTAACTCATCACTGAGCCCTGGCCTAGGCAAACCTAAATTTCTTCTGGCCTGGAGAGGAGCTTGTGGGGCAGGAGGGCGTTGGAGAGCAAGCCTATCTCTCACTGACCCCACTGTGGTGGCTTCCATCCCTCAGGGCTGGGCCTGGCTCCCCGCTTGGACGTTGTGACCTGGTGCATGGTGTCTGTGCCACTTAAGGTTACTGTGGCCATACAGGTATGGCCAGGCCAAACCTTAGTGGTGCTGTAAACCCATGCACCAGGTTGCAATATCAATCAGGTTTGGCTCAGCTACTCTCCTGTCATGGACAGGAGCTGCTGCCATTGTTGCAAGATGAGTATGTTGCGGGCTTGGTCTCCAGCTCCCCCTTACCTCTGCACCAGGCTGGGATTAGTGCGGTGCCTGCACTGGGAGTGCTATATGCAATGGTAGGTCACGAAAAGACAAAATGCAGTTGATGAGTCACCTTAGTAAAATGTTTGGGAACTCCTGGACAAGGCTAAAGCTGTTTGCTTTCAAACCAGAGAGAGTCTGTTACCATTTTGTTGTTGTTAAATAGACAACGCTATTTTATTAGTATTAAGTTTGAAACTAGCTTGCTGTTACAGGCTCGGTTTTGACATGCCCTGTAGTTTTGGCAAAACCTAACTAAGCTGCCTGAAACTTCAGACTTCTGCTCTATGCTATCTTTCTAAAAAAAACTTGGATGAGGCATTTGGGAAGCAAGACAGTCAGAAGCTGAGGTGGTTTTCACTTCTGAAACATCTTGCTCATGAGTTTTTTGTTGCAGTTTTGATTCTAAAACAGCTTTTTGTAAGTCTGGATTTGTTTAAAATTGGTCTTGGCATATTTGCGTGACTGTGGTGGGGTGAAAGAAGGGAGCGGGCAAGGCAATACATGGGTTGGAAAAATTTGGAAAGGACGGGGTCCCTATGGTTTGTTAGCTTTGCTTGGATTTTTGACAGAGCAGTTTGTTTGAGAATGGTGAAGCCTTGCAGAAATCTCAATGGTGTCCCTCCTTTTAGCTCCACCATGAACTGGAAATCTAATCATGTCCATAAACTACTTAAAAGTACTGTAGTTTCTAGTGCAGGGGTCAGCAACCTTTCAGAAGTGGTGTGCCGAGTCTTCATTTATTCACTGTGATTTAATGTTTCACGTGCCAGTAATACAGTTTAATGTTTTTAGAAGATCTGTCTATGTCTATAATATACAACTAAACTATTGTTGTATGTAAAGTAAATAAGGTTTTTAAAATGTTTAAGAAGCTTCGTTTAAAATTAAATTAAAATGCAGGGCCCCCCGGACCGGTGGCCAGGACCTGGGCAGTGTGAGTGCCACTGAAAATCAGCTCGCGTGTCGCCTTTGGCACACATGCCATAGGTTGCCCACCCCTGTTCTAGTGTTACCTCTGCCCCTGAGTCCCCCTGGCAGTTTTTGTGGTCTTATAGGCACAGTATCCTGTTTTTTTCGCTCTCTTGTTGTATAAAAGACTTGCAAAAAGAGGAAAATGACTATATAGAAGAAATAATAAAACTGACTACACAAAATGGAGTCAAATACACAATGTAAACAAACTAAAAACAAAGTGCTTTTCTGTATTCTTTGGCTGTAACAAAAGCAGTGTTTTTGTTTGTTTGTTTTCCAGATGGAAGCTTTTTTTTTTTTTTAATGTTGGTGTTTCTTCAATATGTCTTTCAGTTCCTGAAGGGGGAAAATTTTCAACAGCTATTAGTGAAAGTGAATTTGTCTTGTGATTTAAAAATTAAGATATTTCTTGTCTTAAAGTGGTTATCAAAAACTTAATGAAAGACCATCAATGCCTTCAGCTCATTCATAAGGTGTGATAGTTACATAGAGTGAAAGATTTTTGATTCTCGAATGTGTTTTCATGCTATCTAATTTTAAATGTTACCCTAATTTTGAATTTCCAGGCTTTGTTTTTGTTTTAAAAAGAGAAATGATTGTTCACTTAAGAGAAAACACTTGAAAATATAAATATTTACAAATTTAACACCAGCTTAACAAGTTCATTGCTTGGGAATTGTTGATGACTTCGGATGTGGTACAGGTAGCTGTAATCACTTAAAGGCAGGATCTTTCTGGGTAAATGTGCTGTTTATATATGCAGTAGGTAACTTAGTGTGGAGATTTGAATGAAAATTGAATTATCTGCAAATATCTCACTTTAGAGTTCTGCACTTAGTGTGAAAGTATAAGCACTCGCATTACATTTTTTCTCATTAAAGCATTTAAACATTAAATAATACTTGGAGTAGTCCTGTAAGGGGAGGTGCAGTTATCAGCCAGGACTAAAAACTTCAGATTTTTATATTGTTCTTGGAAGACATTTCTCTTCATACCTAGTTTTGAAGTAAGGAGAGACTCGTTTTCATTGTTAGATAAATAAAACTACATTTTCCCCAAGCTCTTATCTGTCAATAAAACTTAATTTACAGAAATACTAAATCCTCCTTGTGGCAAAACTGGTTCAAAATGTGCTTTCAGAATGTACATTCACTTCTCCATATACCCGGAGAGAAACTCAGCTTCTTGTGAACAAAACTTCTAAAAAATTGAGTTTGCTGTATAGCTTCCTCCAACAAAATCTGAAGACCTTTTTAGCCTCCATTCCTAAAAAGGTGGACATGTAAGAGGAAAGCCAGAGTCCTTCCCTTTCCAAGAAATCTGCCTCAGATGAGTAGAGGCAGAAATTTCCTTAGGAGGAAACGTGCTTTCATCGAACAGCCATTGTAAGGAAACTATCACAGCCATTTGTTGTGGAATTACGGCAGTCACTCCATAGGTAAAGTTGCACTGAATTTCCTTTTTATAAATTTGGTTTTGGCCCACTTATCTAAAATTATTATAAAAAGTCATATTGGCCTCAATGTTGTTAGTTAGGAAAAATTGTAGCGAATTGGACAAGGGGTTTCCGAATTCTGATACCCTAAATGTGTACATCAGGATTCAAAAAGTCCTAGGTTTTCATCTTTTCATAGCAAAAAAAAACCTGAAAGGGGAGAGAATCTAGTTTATTGACTTGTAACTGAGATCTAGTTATCTAGTGCTCAGGAACAAAATTAGTTGATTAAAGTCAAATGTCAAAAGTTTTTAACTTCTGTATTTGGAGCATGAGCTCCAATAAACTTTAATACTGCATATTACATGATTGCTGGAGACATGAGTTTTCAATTTTTAAAAAATGGTAAGTAGCTAGCTTTTTCTCTAGGTTAGAACAGAGGGCTTTGGCAGTGGGAGAATTGTTGTCACTGGGGAGACTTGTCAATGGAAAAGGTAGCTGATGGGGAGGGTGAGGGACCATTCATTAATTTAAAGCCTAGCCCAGGCCATGTGGAGCATCTTTTTGCTCTGTTCCAGCATCCCCACCCTCCCTACCCTGTATTGGTAGCTTTGACACTACTTCGCAGATGCTGCAATTCTGATCAGTTGCCTGTTTTGGGATCAAGAAGGAATTTTTCTTCTTATAAAAGCCAAATTGGCCAAGGCCTGGGTAGTGCAGTTAAATAGGAGTAGGATTGAGTAAATAGTGAAAGTAGTTGGTAAGGACATTAATTTGTTGCAACTTGGCAGTCCGTTTCCACTGGGGTTAAAAGGAATGGTTCCCAGAGTCGAAAGACCTGGGATTTGGGCCTTGTGCTTATGGAATAAGGGGAGATCTTCATGGGCTGAGGTCCCCCCCCTTAATACCTGCTGTCCCCCTTGTGGGTGGGATTAGGGTGATAGGATTCAGAAGAGCTGAGTTTTAGGGGTAAGCTGAGGAGAGTCTACTCCAAGTTGTGTTGTATAGTAGGACCCCACTGTAGCTCCCACACTGGACCCATTTAAAATGCCTGGTATGTATGAGTCTAGGTGACATGGCAGGTAGCGCCCCTCTTCTGTGTTAAGCTGTAACTTTGTTAAATTTATCACTCAAAATCCATCCTTATATTTTTCCTCTTTTGCCATCATATCCAGATGAGAGAATTTTTCCACTCAAAGGCTTGTGGGGTGGGAGGCCGCACATGGCAACATGTCTTTCAAGTCTTAGTATAGGGATTTTACCTTTTCCTGCAGTCCTCAAAAGTAAGTAGGAGAGTGTACCCCACCATCTTACCCAGTCTCCCCTTCCTGTGGACCTCCTCAATAGGGGAATGCTGTTCGTGCAGACCTTGAAATACAGTAAAACCTCAGAGTTACGAACTGATCAATCAACCACAGACCTCATTTGGAACCAGAAGTATGCAATCAGGCAGCATCAGAGAAGGAAAAAAAGCAAGCACAATACAGTACTGTGTTAAATGTAAACTACTAAAAAAAAAAAAAAAAAATTTCATGGGGTAAGGAAACTCTGCTTGTTTCATTTAAATTAAGATGGTTGAAAGCAGCATTTTTATTCTGCATAGTAAAGTTTAAAAGGTGTATTAAGCAGGGTGGATAAAAATCAATTATTTAAAAAAAAATCAAATTAGATTTTTTATTTGTTGGATTTTTTTATTTAAATCAGATTTTTTAAAATAAAATGCTTTTTGAGGAGAAAACCTAAGGATAGTTTTAATTAAGACACATTGTAGCTCAAAGTATCAGAGGGGTAGCCGTGTTAGTCTGAATCTGTAAAAAGCAACAGAGGGTCCTGTGGCACCTTTAAGACTAACAGAAGTATTGGAGCATAAGCTTTCGTGGGTGAATGCCCACTTCATCAGACGCAAGTAGGCATTCGTGGGCGTTCACCCACGAAAGCTTATGCTCCAATACTTCTGTTAGTCTTAAAGGTGCCACAGGACCCTCTGTTGCTTATTGTAGTTCAAAGATATCTCATCATGGAATAGGGATTATAAACTCTAATTCTATAGTATGAGACAATATATTCATGTAATGTTTAAGAAAAGTTTTGTAAATGAGTTCCAATAGTTCATGGATTAGGGACCCAATCTGATGGGCTTCCACAGGCTTCTGTATAGATTATTTAGGTTAATCTTTCTATCTACCCAGTGGGACTTAGTGCTCAATCTAGAAGATACCATCAGAGATGCTTAGTTTTGCAGTTCTCAAACTGTGGATTTGTTCTCCAGAGGTAACATGCTTGTTAATAGCAAAAATGTTTTTAAATAAATAATGTGAGAAATAACAGACCTCAACTCTGTGTACACAAATTTGCAGAGGGACAATAGAGTCAATCCCTTACCTCTCTCTAAAAGTGCAAAGTTTCAAAAAGTTCAATGAATAGAAGATTGTTTGGGGCGTAATAGATCTGGACAAGGAGAAGAAGTCTGGAGATAAATGTGAGAAGTGAGGGACATATGCTTGTTTTGTTAAAATATTATGTTTTCTGTTGAAGGAAAAAATCCAGAATACTTAACGTTGTTGTTTTAGTTAAATAAAACAATTTAAATGTCTGTCTGGTAATGTTCTCCTCCTAATACAGCATGGCAAGAAAATCCTCCAAATATTAATCATTAACCTGTTGAATTGAAGATAGTTCACCTCCCAGTGACTTAATAAATATCTGCTTCAGTTACTTTTGGTAACCAAACACTCATTCATTTTCTGATATAGCTGTAAAACTAATCTGAAAAGTTTTCAAAATTAATCGCTGTTTAAAAATGTATAGTGTGTACCTTCTAAAAATGAAACCTACCGTATATACTCGTTCATAAGCCGAATATTTTTGGCAAAAAAGTGACGCATCAGAGTGGGGGTTGGCTTATAAACGGGTCTACACCAAAATTTGATGATTTTAAACTCTATGGAATAATTGAATTGAATATCTAATACATTGTCGCTTTGTTTATCTGGAGCGTCTGCAGGCATGGAACCCCTCAGCTCCCTGTGGCCGTGGTTTGCTGTTCCCAGCCAGTGGGTTGGCTTATGAAAGGGTCATACGGTTTTTGCTATTTTTACCTAATCATCTTGGGGGGTCGGCTTATAGACAAACGGGCTAATGAACGAGTACATACGGTACATCTATCTCTGAGTTGTGAAGAACATGTGTTAAGGTTATAACAACCAACAAGAATGCACTTTTATGTAGAAAACCATGATTAAATCGGGCCTTCCTGACTAGTGATTTAAATTAAATCCACCCTGGTATTAAGTCAATGCTCAGTTGTAAACTTTTGAAAGAACAACCATAATGTTTTGTTCAGAGTTATGAACATTTCAGAGTTATGAACAATCTCCATTCCCGAGTTATAACTCTGGGGTTCTACTGTAGCTTTGTGGAGGAAGGAGACTAGAAAGCATGGTATGTTCCTCCTTTCTGTGGACCTTCTAAGGTCTGCAGAAGAGGCATATTTTCTTCCTTACCACAACATCTCTAATTCTCACCTCCATGTGAGATGGAAAAGACATGCAATGCCCTAGTGTGTCCAAATATTAATATTCTAGTTTCTTTATTTTCATACTTTCATTATCAAATGTTACTTCTATATCTTCAGATTTACTTCAGGAAAGCAAAAGTGCTTCATGATGCTGGGTTTGTAGGTGATGCCTTACAACTGTTCCTACAGTGCTTATCCCTTGATGAGGATTTTGTTCCAGCAAAGCTAGAAGTGGAAAAGGTAACCTGTATTTATAAACTGTGCTGCTCTCTCTCTATCTTAGGTGACCCACTTTACCCTAGAATCTCAGTCTTCAGTGTATTTGTGCTCATCACATCTGTAATTGTAAGATGAAGTTCAACTAAAGTTTGGGTGACTTTATTTTCACATTTAATTTTCTGTGTAGAGGGTCCCAATGTACTTAGATGCAATAAGAGGTTGTGTGCCCATGTATTCCACAAAAATACCTTTATTTTTAAGTCGGGTTAGGGGAGAATATGTATATTTAACCCAGTTAGCTTTCTAGTTCGTATGGTTTTCAAGTAAAACAGAAATCAGATTTTCATACTTTCCAGTAGATATCAAACACATTTGAGTGAGAAATCAAACACTTTAAGCTTTTCATTCTATGGAAACAAATATCTCTGCGCTGTCAACTTTGCACAATACAGATTAACATTTTTGCAGAACTGCATCTTGTTTAGTTACACCACACCTAAATAAGAGTTGGGAGAAGATGATCATCACTTCCTGTAAGGGGGGAATTTAAGAGCTTAACTTTCTTATAAAGATAAGGTTATAAACCTTTAATTAGGAGAAGAACTACTGAACTGAACTTGTACTGCAGCTGATTATAAGGAAGAGAATAAGTGAAAGGGTATATTTAAAATAAGAAATTTTGATACAAAGTAAGCTTCTTTATGGTGGTTATGTAGTTATATTAACTGAAGTTATAGCTGAATCTTTTTCCCCCCAATCTTAATGTTAAGATGTTTATCTTATAGACATTGTGTGATTTGCTGTCACCAGAAAATGTGAGAGAGAGTCTGAAGGAATCTGCTTGGACTTCACCTCATATTCGAAATAAACCTTTTACACTTGGTTCTGAAATGGAAGAGGCTGGCTGTAATCTGCAGCTTTGTCCAGAGCAGGTAAGTAATGAAAACCATGTAGTATTATATGTATTTTTTTCCCCTTGGTTAGTAGACAAACTTAGGGCATCAGAACTTAAGCTATTTATCAAACTTATTAAGCTCCTTTCCTATTGGACATATATGCTGCTAGATCTTTCTTCCTGCTAGTTGTAGAATTTCTGGTTAGATTTCATGAATCAGCTGGAAAGTACTGTAATTTTTTGACAATTCATAAGACATAATCTAGTGAACTTTTTCATTATTTAAGATTTAACGCTAATAGCTCCAAAATAAAAAGGGTATCATTATAGATTCATTTTCCAAATAAATTCTAAATTTCTTTTCCAAAATTATTTTCCTCTTTGAAGGAAACTGAGGCTTTTAATCCCTTTTTTAATTTCACCGGGTGCTTTCTTGACCTGTCAAATTCCATAGCTCAATCATTGAGTTTTGCTGTGCAGTGGAGAAGATTGTTGATATCTGAATTTGGCTTCAACTTATTCATGTTCAGCTGTCATAAATGATTAGCCACAATTTGAAAATGAGAATAAGTATTGTTAACTTTATTCATTTTATTTCTATAGAATTTAGGAGTGCCAGAGATAACAGGGGAGTCTTTCAGAGGAAGCCTAAATCGTGTACAATCTTCCCATGCTCTTAACTCAACAGAAAATCTTGCTAAAGGAGATGGATTAAAAAGGGTTTCTTCTGAACCTCTGCTTTCTAGCCAGGAAAAAGGTGCTCTCCTAAAAAGAAAGCTTTCCCTTTCAGAACAGGATGCAATAGTGTGTGAAGATGGAAGAAGCAAACATAAAAAACCAGGAGGTAAATAGCCACTTAATGTCAATCTTAGACATACTTATTTTGATTTTTGTCTTGTCTTCAACCAGTATCTGTTCTTCTTCCTTTTAGAAACTACAAAAAGGGACACTCCACAAACCAGTGAAAATGCAACAGTTCCACAGCACTTAATTGATGTGGCAGATTTTGAGTGCTCTCTGTGTATGAGGTAATATTTACTATTTGTTTATCTTCTATGTGATATCTGCATTATAGATGTGGGCAGATATGTTTTGTTATGTGCAAACTGAGGCAAAGAGGTTATGACTTGCCTTATTGTCTATTTTATTTGAGAATAGTGGGTGCGTGAGGTTCTGTGGCCTGCAATGGGCATGAAGTCATGCTAGATGATGATCCCTTCTGGCCTTATAGTTTGAGTCTATGGGTAAGCCCAGGGGTAGTAGAACTTGAGTTAGCAGACCCTGCACTTGTTAACCTAGAGTTTGCGCATGTACGCTCATTTTTAATCCCAGGTTAGGAATTGTTGAAGTCCCAACCTGGGGCTTCAGCGTCTTCACTGCATTATGTGAGCCTGAGTCGAACTGAGCCCTCCCAAAATATGGTTGCTCTAGCCCTGTGGTACTCCGACTAGGGCTCATGAGCCACAAGGGGCTCTTTAATGTCTCCTGTGGATCTTTGCAGCACATATTAAAATTACTCTGTGATTTTAATTATTAACCAATCTAAGTTATTAACTAAGCTTTTACTAAGTTAACCATTTGTAGTTGATAAAATAATACTTGGTCCGTTATTTTGCTATGAGAATTATATCTATTCAAAAACTAAATTTCCCTTGTCATACTGTTTTTAAATATGAATATATAGTACACCTCTACCCTGATATAATGCTGTCTTTGGGAGCCAAAAAAAATCTTACCGCGTTATAGGTGAAACCGCATTATATCGAACTTGCTTTGATCCGCTGGAGTGCGTAGCCCCGCTCCCCCGGAGCACTGCTTTACCGTGTTATATCCGAATTTGTGTTGTATCGGGTCATGTTATATCAGGGTAGAGGTGTACTATAGTACATGAAATAAATTCACACTACTATGACTCTTTTAGGTAATGTTGATTGCTAATTTGGCTTGTGAATCACTCAGGTCGGAGAATCACTGCTCTAGCCTTTTGTTCATGTGTATGGTGGAAAAACTTTACTCTCCACTAACCTGGATCCTCCAGAAGACAAAGAAAGTTGGTCTATGGGATTGTGGAATACTTTTGATGGATTCCCGGAGCACAAGTCCAGTGGAGCTGTGTCTACGTTGCAGAGCAGTAGGGCTTGAACCCTGGGTCCCAGTTTGACTCTGGCTTGGACCTCTATGGGATCCTGGGAACTTGGTCTGAGCCCTGGGTTAGTGTGATGTGCATGTAGATAGAAGGAGAAGAATTAGACTTGAGCCTGAGTTTGAACCCTGGGCTTACGTTGCAGCATAGACATACAAATATCTAGACTGCTTGGGCCCTTGCTGTTACCCTTATTGTTGCAGACTAGTGGTTATGTCTGCACAGCAGTGTAAGCCTGGGCTCAGATCTAACCTTTTGCATCCACACACCAATTGTTCTAAACTAGAGCTCGAACCTAGGGTCCCAGGACTCTGCAGGGCTAGAGAGTCCAAGCCCATGTTAAGCTGGGACCTAGGGTCTGAGCTCTGTTGCTTTCCTGTGTGCACGTGTCCCTGGCTTGACTTGATCCCAAAAGTCTTCTGGATGCACCCAAGAGTTCCTTGGGGAAAACTTTCTTAGTCCTCTCTGCACCAACAGTCTGTGGTGCAATCTGTTGCACTCTGTTGCCATACCTCCTTGTGCAGAGGACAGCAGCTCAGGTCAGCGTTAACCCATTATCTGCTGAACACTAGTCTGCAAGCATACTATCAGAGAGCCTGCAGGGTTTTTAATGGAGAGCGGTCAGAAGAAGATTTTTGCAAAAAGAGCTGCTTCCTGGTCACAACAGCAGAGCCAGATTTTGGTGCACACTGCCTTCCCTTGCACACACACTGTCCCAGAGGGGCCCAGGAGCAAGGGCCAGAGAGCAGAGCAGGGACTAAGTAGCTGCCCTGCAGGGAGAGGGAGCTGCAGAGCTCCTGGCTCAACATGGCTAGGGAAGGATGATCTCCCCCCTCCCCCCAACACCGCAGGTGCTCCCCCTCCCTTCAGGGTAGCTGCTTGGTGCCTGCCTTGCTCTCTCTCCCACCCCATTGCCCTTCCTGGAGCTTCATGTGCAGGGGTGTCCAGGCAGTATGCGTGGTCAGGACGGTGAGTTGGAACCAGCCCCAAAACCTCCCTGAAGCCTCCTGCAGCAGTGTCTTTGGCTCCTCCTAGCTGCTGTGAAGAGCTTGCCCAGAGCAGGGATAGGCGAGAGTCATCCCTCCCATGGATCATCCCTCCCTTGGCTGTGTTAAGCCAGGAGCTCTGCTGCTCCCTGTCCCTGCAGGGTAGGCACTTGGTCCTACTCAGCTCTCCGTTCCTTGCTCCTGGCTCTCCCCCATACCCGCCCTCCTTAGGGCTATGTGTACTGTGAGAGTATTGAGTGGGAGGCCCCTCCTGGCCGGGTGCAGTGGGTGCAGGGAGAAGAGGTATAGTGTGCTCCAGCACCCCCCAGGGATCTCAAGCCCTAAGGATTCTCTTCACCGGCAGTAGCTGGGTTGGGGTGGGTGGGTTTCGGTTGAAACCTACATTTTATGTCAAACTTCAAAACAAACAGAGAAATAAAAGCCAACTGAACAAAAACACCTTCACTGAGCATTCCATTTTAAAAATTAAGAATTGCAAAGTTTCATTTTAATACTTTGAGAGCCCTGGAGACCGATGTACTAATTATCCTCAGAACAGGTGCACATGGGCATTTTCCTACCAATGTGATACAGCCTAGAGGTGGAGAGCCCAATTCTCCGATTAGATGGTAGTTAGGTATACATTTTTCTCAAACTGCAGTCATTTCTACTGAGACAGCCACCAAAGGAGCTAATTATGCAGTTTATATATGCAGGTGCTCATTATGGGCATCTGCATCCCATCAAGAACACCATCACAGTTAGGAAACAGGGTGGGCAGTAGAGTTTTCCCAGAGTGCAACACATTTGTAGGGCTAGTGTGTCAATACGGGACATAGGGGGTGCTAGGCACTCTGGAATAGGATTACTTTGACTTGTCTGTGCACAGCAGTGTGGATCCCAGAGCTCTAGGTTCGAGCATGGGTCAGAAAATCCTTAAATTAGGGTTAAAATACAATGTAGACACCAGTCAGTTGACTCAATTCCCATTAACCCTGGGCTGTCATTGCTGTGTAGACGTACCCTTAGTAGATGAGTATTGGTAAGGACATAATATTTGTATTTAGTTTTATAGTTGTGACACAAACTGATAGTTGAGTTAAAAATGGTATTCCATTCTTAAATATCAACAACACAAGAGGATGTCTTAAGGCTAGACTACACTTTTTTATCTAGAAGTCATTTTGTTTTGGTGGATAAATTGACAAATACTGTTTAACACATGCACTTAAATTTAGCCTTTGGGTTCAGATATTGGTTGAGATTCTCAAAGCAGTATAGGGGATTTACACAGGTATTTTCTTAGAAAATCTCACCTCATCTTTTAGTAGGTTATTTGATAGGCTCCATAGGAACTGCAAATCTTTCTGGTGTGTCATATAAATACACACCATATGTTCTAAAGTATTAAAAATCCGAAGTAGTTATGTGTGCATATGATGTTGGTTAAAGTATATCATGACCATTGTAATATCACCTTAAGCTTATGCTTTAAGGAAGAATGTCTGCGTTTGTGTAACTTATTTATATAAATATACTTTTAGACATTAAATATTTGAACCCAGAAATGTGATCAAATTGACTACGAAGCACAGGATACATTAAGTTGTGCAGTGTTGAGAAAACGAAAACACGTTGAAAAAAATTCTAGCACAAATCTTGTATTTCTGATTTTCATTTAACTTGTCTGTTTTCTTATAGCGTAGCTAGAATTCTTTAAAATTTATTTAAAAGATGTTAGAATCACTGTTTATCAATTGACTTTTTATTTTTAAAAAAATTTCAGGTTATTTTTTGAGCCGGTGACAACCCCTTGTGGACATACCTTCTGCAAGAATTGTTTAGAACGCTGTTTAGACCATGCCCCACAGTGTCCCCTATGTAAAGAGAGCTTAAAAGAGGTAAATATTCAGAACACCTATTAAACTGTAGTAGAAGGAACTTCATAAACCATCCCACAAAACCCAGATGACTTGAGTCCACTCAAATCTTGGATGCTTCCAGAATCCAAAAAAACAATCAATTAAGTATTGATGGGACTTCATGTGTTCATATTTCGGTGGCCACATAACTACCCATGCTGCAGAATTAAAGCATTACCAACTTTGATACCTCGTCAATTAAAGTTCCCTTGCCTGCTCTTGTAACTTTTGCTATCATCTTTTTCTTTGTATTATTTTCTCTCTTGTGGCTGTGGAAATGCTGGGGAAACTGACTATGCAGAGGAAATATTGACACTGACTAGACTCAAGTCTTGTCAAATGCACCAAATAAACAGAACAAATTCTCTACTTTTTTCATTCAGTTACAATAATTTTCGGGGTTATAACTAAGACTTCAGGAATATCTTAAGTTTTGTTAAGACAGATTTTGTAGTCCCATATCCGATTACAGTACTTTTAATTAAAAATAGCGCTGAATTTTGTGTTAATGTTGTATAAGAATACTACAAACAGTTGGAAGAGAAATGTTTTATGGTAAATTTTCATATTTTTTATCTTTTTTTAGTATTTGGCAATTAGGAAATACAGTGTCACAGTACTACTGGAAGAATTAGTGGTGAAATATCTGGCTGATGAATTATCTGAGAGAAAAAGAATTCATGATGAAGAAACTGCTGAACTCTCAGAGTAAGCCTACCATGGGTTTTTTTTGTGTGTGTTTTTTTTAATCCAAGAAAATTTGAAAGCAAGATTACTGTCCTTTTTGTAAAGCAGCATTGTGAAATCGTGTCCCTGTGGGTGCTCCGCTTGAGGTGTGCATGTGTCTTTGATCAGAGATTTTTGGCAGCAGTGCTCGTTCAGTCTGCACGTGTCCCAGTTATTCTCATGCCCTGTACTGAGGATATATAGGGCTGCAACAGATGGACCTCCCTCAGTTTCTTGTAGAATGACTCTGCCTGAGACAGAGAGACTCATTTGTGCCCTCATACAGGAACTACAAAACTCGTTTTTAGAACATAATTTTAATTTTTTTTATTTTAGTTTTTATTCTTTGTAGTTAGTTTTTGGAGATCCTTTTCTCATTTTTTGGTCATGCCTTTGTGTCTCACCACTGTCCCTCGTACATAGGGCTCTTCTCTAAAGAGGCCTTTTTTCTTCAGGCATGCCTAAGTCCTCAGGCTTCGAACTTTGCCATGCTTGTCAGGAATCCTTCCCAGTTAGTGACCGCCACTCACACTGTATCCACTCTCTTGGGGATACATGTGTGTTTTAAAGCACAAGATTCGCATGAGCTTTGAGTCATTCCAGGCGTGACAGAGATAACATTGGCTCCTCATGATAGAGCATTCACTTTGTCTGGCTTTAGATACACGTCTTGATATATTCCCCCCCTCCAACTATCGGCCTCTGAGCTACCGGAGTGCCCGGTCAGTCTCCACAGCTCAGTTGACTTCTAGGTTTTTGAGAGACAGACCTTTGAGCAAAATGGGGAAAGCCTCATCCAAGAGGAACTAGTACTCCTTTGAGAGACCATATTGCTAAGAGGCCTGCTGTGCCGGAGACCCTACGCCCCTTAAAGGCTTTCGCAATGGCTTCAAGCAGCGTGGTACCAAAGTTTCCTCCAAGTCAAAGTCTTTGTAAAAGACAAACGGTACCCATCGTTCAATACTAAAGCCCTCTACCATTGAAATCTGAACAAGGTGCTTCTGATGCCAAACACTTGGCACTAAAGAAGTCAGTACTGCCTGCATCTTTGGTACAGCAAGAGCTGGAACATCTAATACACCCCTTGATAGCATAGGCTTCAGCATCTGGGTCTCATCAAATGTCTATGCAGATTCACCCCAGTACCACAAGTGTTCCGATTTGTCTCTGTTGAACCTGAGTCTTTTTCTCAGCTCAAGATCCCCGGTACGCAGCTTGAGCTATTCCCGTTATATCACCTTTCACTGGTACTGCCTGTGCCCCAGTACAGTAACTCCTCACTTAACGTTGTAGTTATGTTCCTGAAAAATGCGACTTTAAGCAAAACGATGTTAAGTGAATCCAATTTCCCCATAAGAAATAATGTAAATAGTGGGGGGGGGGGGTTAGGTTCCAGGGAAATTTTTTTCACCGGACAAAAACTATATATTATATAGATATACACACACTATACGTTTTAAACAAACAATTTAATACTGTTCACAGCTATGATGATTATGAAGCTTGGTTGAGGTGGTGAAGTTAGAGGGTGGGATATTTCCCAGGGAATGCCTTGCTGCTAAATCAGTGGTTCTCAAACTTTTGTACTGGTGACCCCTTTCACATAGCAAGCCTCTGAGTGTGACCCCCCCCCCCATATAAATTAAAAATACTTTTTTTATATATTTAATACAATTATAAATGCTGGAGGCAAAGCAGGGTTTGGGGTGGAGGCTGACAGCTCGCAACTCCCCATGTAATAACCTCGTGACCCCTGAGGGGTCCCGACCCCCCAGTTTGAGAACCTCTGTGCTAAATGATGAACTAGCACTCGGCTGAGCCCTCTAGAGTTAACACATTGTTGTTAATGTAGCCTCTCACTTCACAAGACAGCAGGAATGGAGGGGAGGGGAGATAGCATGACAGACAGACACACACCTTGTGTGTGGGGGAGAGAGAGATGCACACTGCCCCTTTAAGTAAGCTGACCCACTCTTAAATGCATTGTCTTTTTAAGTGGATCAGGAAGTTGAGGCAGCTGCTGCCCCAGGCTCTTGGTCTCTCTCTGTCCCAACCTGCTCTATATGGAGAAGAAGGTATACGCGGGGTGTAGGAGCAGGGGGGAGAGGGACACCCTGACATTAGCTCCCCTCTCTTCCCCCCCCTCCCCTGCACAGCAAGCAGGAGGCTCGGGAAGCAGCTCCAAGGCAGAGGAGAGGAGCAGCACATGGGTGTGGGGGGAGGGATAACTGCAATTGCTAGCCTGCTGGGCGGCTGCAGCACAGGAAACTTAGGGGAGCGGGGACTGCCGGTCCATCCTGGTTCCAAGCCCCCACCAGCTTGCTGCAACAGGCTGCTCTTTCTGCAAGCAGTGGACAAAGCAGGCGGCTGCCAAAGGATGTTAGAAGGGAGCATTGCACAACTTTAAATGAGCATTGTCCCTAATTGATCAGCAATGTAACAAGGGAACAACATTAACCGGGACGACTTTAAGTGAGGAGTTACTGTACCAATGTGTGTTCTGACAGCTACTCCTCCCTTGTCTGCTCCTCCACTGGAATATGAGGAAGAGTGTTCTTCAGCTTCTCAGATCTCAGCACAGGGAACTGCTGCCTGCCTGCCCAGCTTCAGTTACCAAGAACCTGCATCACTGAAAGGTGCTTCCAAGCTTTTACCACCACAGCCTGCCAAGCATCATCCCTGGTATGAGCAGCCCTGGCCGCCTTCCCCTATTCTGGTATGACCCTCTCCAATAGGCATACTGGGCTCCTTAGTCTGCCCACTGACAATGGTTTTCTAAGGTACCCTCCACTCATGTGGACTGTCCCAGTTAGCACTCGCCAGTTCCCTCTGTCTCCCCACATCAGTCTATTCTACAGGAAGAGACATTTGAAGAATGAGAAAGGGGAGCTGATGAGGTGGTAATGCCACAGACTAACATAGCCCCCTCATCCTCCCCAGATGAGGCTGTCACCCCCATTGACTCCTGTGGATGACTTCAAACAATTTCAGGACTTGATGAGAGTGGCAGACACTCTCCAGATTCCATTAGAAGTCCAAGAGACCCAGTATAAATTGCTCGATATTTTCGGTACACCATCGTCAGCATGGGTAGCCTTGTCTATAAGTGAGGCACTATTAAAAGCTGCCAAAATGATCTGGCAGACGACTCCTACTTCCCCCCTCGCCCCCCCCCCCCCATAGCCATGGGGTAAACATATCCTAGTTAGGGCTTCTGAATTTTTATTTTCTCATGCTGCCCCAATTCTCTGGTCATGAATGCAGTGAATGTGCATAATAGGCAACACCATTCAAGGATGACCCCATATGATTAAAAACCATAAGCTCATAGACCTTTTTTGGTGGTAACCCTCCACCCTCTCCAACCCTGCAATTCCAGTTTGCTAATTATCTGGCAATTCTGGCAAAATGTAATCAGATCCATTATACAAAATTGAGTTCTTTTATTGAACAATTATCACAGAAGCACGGGGACAGCTTTTGGGGAGGAGAACCTTGCAAACTTCTTTTGACGCAGCAGATATGACAACTTGCTTCATCTCCATAGCTATAGTTATGGGTAGAGTCTAGTGGTTCCAGTCCTCATGATTTCCATGAGAAGTCTAAAGCACAGTAGTGTACCTTCCCTTTGATAGTTTGAAATTGTTTAGTGACTCCATGAATGACTCTCTGCATTCTCTAAAGGACTCCAGGGAGACCCTTAGTTTGTTGGGCATATATATACACCTGCAAATAAAAATGTGTAGTCTATCTCAGATAGCACAGAGATCATGTCCACCCAGTTCCCCACCTACTGCAATTGTTGCAGCCACACAAGAAAAAAGCAGGATGCAGAAGGGAAAGTTCTCAACTATTACTATGTTTGATGCAGTAGTCATCGTTGCCATATGTTGCTTTTGATGCCATGGTCGAGGACCATGAATCCTCCCGTGATCCAGATCCAATGATGCACCATTCTGCCACGTCTGTCATCCTACTTCTTGGGGATCGACTCTTGGGGGTGAAACTTGCAGCTATCATTCCATCCCTGGATTTGGGGGACTATTTCATGACCCTCAACCTTGAGGACACATACCTTCATATTGCAATACACCTTTCTCACAAGAGGTTCTTCATGGTAGGACAAGACTATTACCAATATCAAGTCCTTCCCTTCAGAGGGCATGTCTAAGTAGCAATTAAACAGCTGTGGCTGGCCCAGGTCAGCTGACTGCAATTTTACAGCCTTGCGAGCCAAGGTAGATGCTTGAGCTGGAGCTTTCTTGGGATCCCAGAGCCCAGGCTAAGCCCAAGCATCTACATTTCAGTTTTTCAGCCTCGCGAGCCTGAGTCAGCTGACACGGGCCAGCCACAGGTGTTTAATTGCAGTGTAGACATACCCACACTGTCTGCCGGTCTTAGGGTGTTCATGAAAGTTATAAGAATGGCCATAGTGGGTCAGACCAATGGTCCATCTAGCCATAAGCTGTTTTCGGACAATGTCTGGGGCGAAATGCTTCAGAGGGAATGAACAGAACAAAGCAATTTCAAGTGAGCCATCCCCTGTCGTTCAGTCTCAGCTTCTGGCAGATAGGTTTAGGGACATCCAGAGCATGGGGTTTTGTCCCTGACCATCATGGCTAATAGCCATTGATGGACCTACCCTCTGTGAACTCATCTAATTCTTTTTTGAACCCAGTTACACTTTTGGCCTTCAGAGCATGCCCTGGCAACAAGTTTACAGGTTGACTGTATTTTGTGAAGAAGTACTTCCTTATGTGTGTGTTTTAAACCTGCTGCCTATTGATTTCATTGGGTGACTCCTCGTTCTTGTGTTATCTGAAGGGATAGATTATACCTTTTCTCCACATCATTCATCATTTTGTAGATTGCTTTCATATCTCCCCTTGGTTGGCTCTTTTCTAAGCTGAGCAGTCCCAGTCTTTATATTAAAAAAAAAAAAAAAAAGTCCTTGTGGCACCTTAAGCTTTTGTGGGAAGTTG